ACAGCAGGTTGCCACTGCACCCTGGGACCAGCACTGGCCCCAACCTGAACCCAGTGCTGGGAAGACTGGTGCTGCTACTGGCCCCAGGCAGCCTCCTGTCATTCTGCACACAGGTCTAGTGGCCCACACCCCCAGGAGGTGTGTGCTGGACTCCTCCCAGGAGTGTGGGCCCCTGGATCTGTGCTCAGGATGACAGGAGGCTGCCGCTGCCACCTGGGACCAGCACTAGGCACAGCCTGCACCCAACGCCGAGAAGACTGGTGCTGCCGCTGGCCCCAAGCAGCAGCAGCCGCCTTCTGTCATCCTGCACACAAATCTGGGGAGCCTGCATCCCCAGGAGGAGTCTGGCAGCACTGGGAGGGCAGGTTGAGCTCTGTGGGGCTGGTGGAGCCATTCAGAGTGCAGCCCAGGTTCTCCCTGCTTCCCACCGCCAGGCTGCATTCCGAGCAGCTCCACCAGCCCCATGGAGCTCAGCCTGGCAGCAGGAGAGCCAGTGGCAAAGGCTGCTTGGAGCACAGCCCCGGGCAGTCACTCTACCCCACCTCCTGCCCCCAGGCTCAGCTTTGTAAAGCTGGCGGAGCCAATCAGAGTGCACCCAGGTGGTGGGAGGCAGGGGGGAGCCAGGGTTGTGCTGACCGGCTCTGCTAGCCTCACAAAGCTCAGCCCAGCAGTTGGTGGCAGGGGAGAGCCACTGGCCAGGACTGTGCTCAGAGCAGCTCTGTCACTTGCTCTCCCCTGCCTCCCACCACCAGACTGCCTCAAAGCTTTGCCGGGCTCCACTGACTGGCAGAGCTGCTTGGAGTATTGGCTTGGCTCTCCCCTACCTCCTGCCACCAAGCTGCTTCAAAACTTGAAACGTTTCGAGTGCCCTCATTTCATTTTGAAGCTGTTTCAAGGCCTTTTGTTTAATTTCGATTTCGCTGTTTCAAGTTCAAAACGCGTCAAAACAGCTTTGAAACAAAACAATTGTTCAAATTTCACAGACCCCTCATGAATACGTTCAAAGTGACTGTTTTCTCTCAGTTTAATTACTCAATGACTTTTTTCCCCCCATGGTCTCAAAGTCCCAGCTCTCCAGATCACAGTATTTCCAGCATACTGATGACTCTTTTCTGACACACAAAGAAATATACATATATCAGCCTTATACCAAAGTTACTTAACTGGGTTCTCATTTGTTCCAAGACAAAGTTCAAACCTCCTCCTTTTTTGGTTTAACTACTTCCCATGGATCTCCTTCAGTTAATCACACATTTATCTTTAATGATGATCTCTCTTACATCATGTAACCTAAAAGAGACCATTGGAATTGCTCCCAATTTCAACCAATATAGCTTCCACCACTATCTACAAAAGACAGGTGCACTGGTTTAATTTAAATCTATTTTCAAATCATATTTGCTTAAACCGGTACACACGTTCTTTAGTTTAGTTTAAATGAAAATCAATGTCACTCTTAAAAATCAGGAAGAAACTGGCTTCAGCTTAACCAATATAAGCCTATTTAAACTGAAGTGAGTGTGCCTACGCACTGTTTTGCACCAAATATACTAATAGCTTGGTTTAAGAAGAGCCCATATCTTTAGTTAAAATGTCCGAGTTTGTAAGTAAAGCCTCTGATGAAAGTGAGACCCCTTGTCACTATCAGCACATCTTCCCGCAGCCTCTGTTTCTCCACACCATTTATATAAAGGCCTTCTTTCCAGATTTTGATACTGATACTGTTTTCTTGCATTTTTCTACCTACTCAGCTCCCATCTTCTAATTTTAACTAAAAACTTAAACACTAGAGGGATAAAGGCAAAAAATATATATTTAACTGTGGGTTACGGTGGGCACGCTTGGGGCTGGGTCTCATGCCAGGCCACCTACTTGTCTCTATGGGGCAGGCCACCCAGTCTCACCTGCCACGACTTCGCTGTTCCCATAAACTGGTGTTATAATGCAGGAGTCTGCCCCTTCCCAGCCCCAATGCCAGGGGGTACTATGTGCAGCTCTGAGCCTCGCCCACATTGCAGCCCATGCCTTGCAGATGGCATCCACATGATACAATCATAACCTACACTGTGACTGGTGCTCCAGGGTTTCGCAGAGTCCCTGTGAAACCCTGAAGCAGCAGGTCCTTGTGCTTAACCTTTAGGTCTTTCTTTTGACCCACAACTCAACCTCCTTGCAGCAGAGGACTTACCGAGGTCAGGACTCACCCCTAACTCTCTGACTGAGCCCTCAACTCAGCCTCTTGCCCAACTACAGCCTCAGGCGTCTGAAGACATATTTTGGCCTACTCTCCACTCCTGGGGTTCCTACTGTGCCCAGTCTAGGGCCTCTACACCACGCCCCACCCTGGGGTCTTCTCATGCTCCTCACACTCAACTACATCCTTACACTTGACTACTCAATGGGCTGGCCCTTGCACTGCCCTTCACACCTACTCCCAGTTCGGCCCTACTCAACGTGCCCCTGGGACTGTCTTTTAGACCTACTAACTATTTGGCCCTACTTAACGTGCCCTTCATGCGCAGTCCTTCAGACCTACTCCCCTTCAGCCCTATTCTGTGCAGGGCCACAGAACTCCACCCTCCTTCACAGCCTCGGGGGTCAACCACCCCCACAGGCTCAGGCGGCACTGTGCTTGCCATGCCTGGCTCCACAGCTGCCTCCAAAACCCACCCAAAGATGGGGGCTAGAGTTAAGGTGCCCCATCTCACCTTTCACTGGGGAGGTAACTGGCCTGGCAGTTCTTGGGGGCCCCCATACCACTAGGAGCTTCACCAGGCCATCCTTCCCTGACAGGGTGCAGTTTTTTTAGGTCATGCCCAGGACCAAGAGTCTCCTGCTCCTACCTGCTAGATGTTCCATGCACCTCAGCCACACGATGTTTTTGCCTGAGCTAGAAGCAGCAAACTGCAGCCTTTATAAGCCTCATGTTCAAAATGGCTGCCCTCATCAGGCACCTGGCTGCTGCCTGACTCTGTCCTTAAAGTGCCAGGCACCCAAAAGTGCACTGCCACACTCTGGTTAAATTATTTAAAGAATAAAAGAGTCAAAGGCAGGCACCTTGTGCCTCATACAGCGCTAATCACACTTTCAACTTCATAAAGTATTTTATAATAATTTTTATGGAAGATGCTATATGCAATTAAAAATGTGTAATGGATTTTTTTTTTCCACCAGTAAGCCTTTACTTATAAAAAGGTTTCAGCCTGAGCACCTTCTGTCAGATTTAACTCCTAGAAATCTGAAATTCAGGCTTATAGCTTCAGTTACTCAGAAGCACATTTTAATTTTTGGCACAGCCTGGAGAATTTAACGGAGTGGATTAACTTTATAAATATTCCAATCACTGGGACAAAGGCAAAAAGACTGAATATAGCAAAATTCTGTCAACACTGAGCTTTAAATTTTTAAACTAAGAACTCTATGTAAACAGAATAGCCCTGATTTTGGCCTCCACTGCAGCCCTGTATGTTGGCTCTGTGTTAAGGTGCTTAGTGCTGCACCAGTACGTATAATAGTCTTTTGTTACTCTTCCTTGTAGTTTTAGCATCAGACTGTGACAGGAACAGGACTAAGAGGTCACAGATATGGGGAATGAGTGCAGAGCCAAATCACAGACTCAGTTCTTCTTCATGGCTGTTGGACAGCTCCATAAGGAGATTTAGCAGCTGACAAGCCAGTATAGTTCTAGAGGTTACTCTGACTGGAGCTTAAAATTAAAACATGCTTCTGCGTGCTCTCAAATATGGATTTCCCAAACTGTGGCCTGAGTAGAGCAGTGGAAAGAGGAAGAGAGAAAAGGGCACTGGACAATCCATAACTACAGAAACCAAACTTTCTAGAGAAAAAAATGCCACTTGTCACTTTTTCAGGGATATAATTTTGGTAGCTGTGTTGGTTTGAAACAAAAATCAATGCATAACTCTAGAACTCTTGGTTCAGAGATGATATATTTTATTAGACCAACTAAGAAGTCACAAAAAAAACCTTTTTTCTGCAAGCTTTCGGGCACACGTGCCCTTCCTCAGGCTGAGGGAAAATTAAAGATGGTAAAAAGTCCCCACTTTTACCCTTCCCCCCTCAGGCTATGCTGACTTAATTCAGCTGCTGCCCAGAATCAGCATCCCACATCACCCAAGGCTCTCTATTAACATCCCATGGTAGAATATGGTTCGTAACACTATTCGTGTCAATCTCAGCTTTTGCACTTAAAGATATGAGGCAGTTTACTTTCTAAACCCCATTTTCTCACGCCTTCATTCTCCAAATAATTACCTGTTGCCCTCAACTTGTTGTCAGTTTGATCCAATGACAGATTATTTGAAAGAAAATATGAACGCTCTCTTCGGTCAATTCAGAGTTCCCAAGAATTAAAAAATAAGACACATTTATCTCTTATTATAAAAATTATAACCGCCTTTCTGAATGATATTTGGGAGGATAAAGGGGAAAAAAAGGCAGTTTCAGAAAGCATCACAGTGAGGTGCAAGGAGCAGACCCTGCAAGTGAGGCCAGACCAGGCTTCTGGGGTTATCTTCCACCCTGCCCACAGCTTCTTTGCGTGCCAGTGGCCACACCACAGTCCAGCTGTCCGTAGCACCACCAGGCACGGGCTCCCGTCTCGAAACCGTGAGCACTCGGTCCATGGGTCTGAAGCGCTCCGAGGAGGCAGCAAGAGGCCCCACATTAAAAACCAAAACAGATCGAAAACAAAACATCCGCGATTACACGGACGACTCGGAGCAGCGGGACGCGGGGTAGGGCTCAACACGCCGGACTGAGGGCAGCAGCTCTCATCTCAGGAGGCACCTGCAGAGCAAGCCACCGGGGCAGCCGGGCACGACCCTCCCCCGGAGCTGGGCGGCCCCGGGGAAGGGACAGCAACGAGTCAGTGCGGCCCCGGCTCCCCCTCCCTGCGGGACAGGCACAGCAAGCCAGGTCCCAGACACCCCTTCCTCCCGCCTCGCCCCGCCGCGCCGCGCCGCGCCGCGCAGCACACGTACCCGCACATCCCCGAGCTCCCACCGGCCCCGAAATGGCCGAACAAAGGGAGCTCGCCTGGCCCCGCGATTGGCCGGGGGTGGGGCGGGGCGGGGCCGTAACCCTGGCGACGCGGCGGGGAAATGGCGGCCGAGCCCCGCCCAGCGGCCCCGCCCGGG